TGTACAAAAATAGTGAAAAGACAACAAAGGGGAGAGAAATAAAGATATAAGTGATAGGGGGAGAATTTGACATAGGGGGAGAGATATGACAAAGGAAAGGAATTAATTAAAATTTTGAGCACACAAGTAGGGGGAGCAAGCTCATGAACTTGTATGATGCATTTGAATGAGCATTTCATATGTTTGCTTGCATGGCATAAGTTCTAAATTTCAATATCCATGCTTATGTGGTGTATGCTAGTTATAGGTATGAATGATGAAATGAAAATCTAGCATGCATAGGTTATCTAGTGATTTCATTTCCAAGTGTTTCCAAGTGGTATCAAGCTAACTATGGTGCTAAGGATGGTATAATGGTGCACTTCGATTGGTATCATGCTTCAAAGGTCCATCTTTTATACCTTAGCATCATTTGGTAGAAATTGTCTTCTACATTTCCTATCTAAGCATATATGTAAGCTACAATCCAAACTCTTAGCACTTATGTAGGGGGAGCAATTGCTACCATTTGGGGTTCATGAAACTTGTCCATATTCTTTTACATATGGTAAATATGTCTGGGCAAGCAACATGGATTCAATTAAATTTTAATTCATATATTTGTAAAAGGGTTGTCATCAATTACCAAAAAGGGAAGATTGAAATCTCTAGTTTGGTTTTGGTGAATCGATGAAACCCTAAGTGCTAACCTAGTTTATCAAATGATCATGAGTTAGGTAGCACATTCCAAGTGGTGAAGCAAATGAAGATCATGACATGATGATGGTGATGCCATGGTGATGATTAAGCGCTTGGACTTGAAAAGAAGAAAGAGAAAAACAAAAGGCTCAAGGCAAAGGTATAAATGATAGGAGTCATTTTGTTTTGGTGATCGAAACACTTAGTGAGTGTGATCACATTTAGGATCGATAGCCGTACTATTAAGAGAGGTGAAACTCGTATCGGAATGAGGTTATCAAAGTGCCACTAGATGCTCTAACTCATTGCATATGCATTTAGGATCTAGTGGAGTGCTAACACCCTTGAAAATGTTTATGAAAACATGCTAACACATATGCACAAGGTGATACACTTAGTGGTTGGCACATTTGAGCAAGGGTTAGGAACTTCACCGGCGGAGTGTCCAGTGCGGACAGTCCGACGGTGCCACCGGCGCCCTATACACAAAAGATGGAGGTCACTGTAAGTGACCGGACGCTGGTCTCGGTTGGACCGGCGCGTCCGGTCAGTGGGAGCAGAGGGCATGCATTTCGGTCTCATGACCGGACGCTGGGTCGCTCAGCGACTGGACGCTGGAAGGCTACATCCGGTCATGCTGACATGGCAGCACAGAGGAAGACACCATGTGACCGGACGCTGGCTGTGTCCGGTCATGCATGACCATACGCGTCCGATCGGGAAAAATCGTTTCTGGAAGCTTACTGGAAACGACCGAACGCTGGGGGTTCAGCGTCCGGTCACTGTTAGCTATTGCGTCCGGTCATCTTCTGACCATTGAGATCGGGCGCACAACATTTGAAGAGAGGGACACGTGGCGTGCATCACGTGACCGGACGCTGAGGTCCAGCGTCCGATCAATATGACCGGAGCGTCTGGTCACCCCGCGTTGTCCCTAGTGAAGGGGTAGAACGGCTCTATTTCGTGGAGGCTTCTATTTAAGCCCCATGGCCGGCTCAAGCTCACTCTCTTGGCCATTTGCATTGACATAGCAATCTTGTGAGATTAACCAAAGTCCTCACACTCATCTCCATCATTGATTCATCATCTTTGTGAGATTGGGAGATAATCCAAGTGCATTGCTTGAGTGTTTGCATCTAGAGGCACTTGGTGTTCCTGTTTCGCTGCGGGATTTGCTTATTACTCTTGGTGGTTGCCGGCACCTAGACGGCTTGGAGCAGCGAGGATCGTCGAGCGGAGGGTGGTGATTGTCTTCGGCTCCGATCGTGGTGATTGTGAGGGGTTCTTGACCTTTCCCGGCGGAGAGCCAAAAGGTACTCTAGTAAATTACTCGTGGCTTATGTGATCCTCATCTTGTGTTGGTTGTGCGGCACGCTATTGAGGGTTTGGCGTGTGATGCCAATTAGCGCATGAACCTTCAAGTGAGTGAATCGCCACAACGAGGAGTAGCTTGCCGGTAAGCAAGTGAACCTCGGTAAAAATCATTGTGTTCATCATTTAATTCCGAGGTGATTGGTCTTCATTGTTATTCATTCTTGTGATTGATTGTCTCCTTCCTCAATACGGCGGTATAACCTTCTTACTCACTCTCTTTACATTACCGCAAACTAGTTGTCAAGCTCTTTAGTGTAGCTAGTTGTGAGAGCTTGTTAGTTTGGTTAGTGTGGCTCTTTAGTTAGGATTTGAGAGCGCACTAACTTAGTGTTGTGACATAATTATTGTGTGGATAGAAACTATATATACTAGAATTGTGGTAGGTGGCTTGCTTTTTAGTAGGCTAGCGCAACACTTGCTTCGCTTCATAATTGTCTAACCGATTTGTTAAGTGTTGTTGTAGAAATTTTTAATAGGCTATTCAACCCTCCCCCTCTAGGCATTAGGACCTTTCACGTACAACCTTGTAAAAACCCATCAATGCTAGCCTTGAATGCACAAAAAAATTTGCTAAAATGAATTTGCCCATTTACTTCCACTGTACCTATCTCAACAACACTTTCAAGGGATCTAAGCTCTACCTCAGCTTTGAACCTATACAACCAATCTTAAGAATCATCCCACTTACCAAATAAAATGTTAGAAGCTCTTTGCCTTCCATACCACACAGTCTAGTAGGGTATATGGATTTTGTACTTCTCTTCTAGCTCATCTTTCACTTCCTTTGCACCCATCCCTCATTTCCTCTTCAAGAGTGGAATAGCCCTTTCTACAACCTATGCTTGAGATGCCATCCTACCTTCAACTCTGCTTATTGATGGACAATTATGCTTCCTGTTATTTACCTGTACTTGCACATGCAAACATATTGAATATCAGTCCACTAATATTAGTAAAGAGATGGTGATGCTCAAGTGTAAGTAACAAATTACAAGATACAAAAAAAAATATGTACCCTGACACTGCCATCAAACCGTGTTTTAGCTCTAATCCTCCAAGGACATCCCTTGGCATTGCAGCAACCCCTGAACCTTTTCTTGTCTGATTTCTCAGTGTGCAACTCAAACTCCCCAACAATTGCATGATGTTTAACTGCAAGTCTAAACTTAGGCATTGAGGGATAAATGGCTCCAACATCCATATCTGGATTGTCCCAATCCCAGTCAATAAGTGGCTCTAAACTAGCTTAGTCATCAACAGGGATAGTTGTTTCCTCCATTTCTTGCTGGATCTTTGGTGGGATAGATGGGATAGGAACTTCTTCAGCTACAGCAGCTGCTGCTTCCTCTTCTGCAGCTTTGAACCCATATGCCTCAAATACTGCATCTTCACCAGCCAACATAGTAGCCTCACCATCTTGATTATCACTGGGTATTATGGTTAGAGTGCTCCAATCAACAGCAGGTTCTTGTGCACTGAAAGTTTTAGCTTCTAGAGTCATAGTTGTATCATCAGCTGCTTTTGACTGTACTACAGATTGGGCAATAACCCCAGATGTTGCACGACCACTAGCATTATGCCCAGCTGGTGCTGACTGACCCTTTTCCCTGACCTCACAGGTAAGATACAATAGCTTAACATCCATCCTAGCCCCCACCATTTCAACAAACTACTTGTCAGTTGTTACCTTCCACTCAGTCCCACTTTCTATATCAACTCCCCACACAATCAACTGCTGACTAGGCCCCCAAGTAATGTTGCTAGCCATTTCCTCGACAAAGTTACTTAGATTGAACACAGACCTACTGTCAAACTAGACATCATGCCTTGAATCTTCCATTTCTAGTGGTCCATACTCCAGATTGGCAGTGAACTTAGCACATTCAACAACAATTCTAAAAGCATTGCCAGGATCAATCCTGGCACATGTCGACAATGAAAATAGTTTGGAATTAGAATTGATCCAACTCCACAGCCATCACAGTGAATACAATCCATACAATATCATACTTACCAAGGAGGGCAATCTGACAACTTCATTATGCAAGACAAACAAATCCACTACCTACGAAGCGCAGTAACACACAAACCATGAACTTTAATGACCGCAAGAAAAATCAAAACCCTAACCACATGGGGAACCCTAGGTGGCAACCGGAACCACAGAGGAGACGAGAGGGGAAAGAGAGGAGAGGAAGGTACACCTACATCCACGAGCACCGTCGGCCTTGCTTTCGCCGAACGCCACAGATCCTCACGCCGCTCCTCAACGTGAGGGAGAAGAAGAAGAATGGGGGCAACTGAGGATACGGGGAGCGAGCCCACACGGTTAAGGGATAAGGTAAGGGGCACAGCGAGGTCTTTTTGCGTGCACCTGCCACGCTGGTAAGTTTACTGGACGTGCCACGCAACCAAAATATCTACAAACCGAAAGTTTTTGGTTAGTTTGGGAATAAAAAAATTAGAACCATGTAGAAAGATGATAATTGAGCTCATGTCAACCAAAAAGTTAAATATCCTCCGAGGAGAGGAGAGAGAGAGGGGAGGCAGCGATTTTTACCCGATATATCTCGCGTTTTCTCGTCAGTTACAGATCTGATCCCACCCCTGAGGTCAGGTAAAACTGTCTCCCACTCTCACCTCGCCACCTCCCCCTCCTCGCTCCGTTTCTCTCCCCTAATTTTCTTTTTTCTTCGGCGCAGCAGGATTTTTTCCCCTCTGCTTTCCCCAATTCCGCCGTATTTTATTATTCGATTTCGAGGTCGGTTTTCGGGTGCAGAGGAGGCAGAGAGAAAGGTCACGTCCAACCGCCGCGACCCGCGCATGTGAACTGTGCCCGACGAGGCGCGCGGCGCGGGTGAGGTGAGCTGCGCCGAGGCGGAGGGACCGCGTCGGATTCGGGAGGCCAGGCCTAGGGTTTTTTCACCGGCCCGCCCGCCCGCCGCGAGATGGACGGCCGGGACCAGCACCCGCAGCAGGCGCAGGCGCAGACGGCGCCGCGCGTGGGATCCCCGCCGCAGGCTGGCGGCGGCGGCGGCGTCATGATGCAGCACGCCGCCGCCGCGTTCGGTGCCGCCGCGACGCCGCCCGGGATGCCGCCGACCTCGGCGGCCAACGTTATGCACGGGATGCCCCTCGCCTTCAACAACCCCATGGCGCCGTCGCCGGGCGCCTCGTCGCCGATGAACATGAAGCCCGCGGACATGCCGCCGGGGCCCATGTACCGCCCTGACTCCGGCGCGCCGGGCTTGCAGCAGCAGCAACAGCATCCCGGCTCCGGTGGCGTCGCCGTCAGCGGTGGGGAGCTCGTGAAGAAGAAGAGGGGGAGGCCGAGGAAGTATGGCCCGGACGGGAGCATCGGTTTGGGACTCACGTCCGCGGCAGCGGCGGGCACTGAAGCGGCGGGCGGCCGGTCCGGTGGAGGCGGCTCTAGCTCCAACCCCGACGGCAAGCGCAGAGGACGGCCCCCTGGGTCCGGCAAAAAGAAACAGCTCGATGCTTTGGGTAATATAGCCTGCGCCAGCTCTCTGCCTTGCTTTTATGTCTTCTCAAAAGTATTCGCTTACTGCTTACATAAGGCCATGCCTTGGCCCGTTGTTGTAGCCATTGAAAACGTGGTGCTAGGGCCCTGGAGGTATATGACGTGATTTCTGGAATAAGTTTTTATTTATTATGTCATCTTTTTTGTGCCTTTAACAAGAGGACTGGGCGCAAGAATTTGTTTTTAAAGGATTCCCCCCACATTCTGAAGGAATTAAAAATAGAATGGAGATGGTGCAGGCATTTTAATATTTTGGTGAAGTACAGGCATTGCCTTTATTATTATGCACTGTATAAACAGGATAAGTAACATCTATTCAAACATGAGCCTGGTCTTTAAATATTGTATTTCTCATCGTAGGTTGCTTGCATTTTTTTCTTTTATAATAAGGATTCTTGTATGTGCACATACCGACCAAAGATGGATAATTTTTTTCCTTGTAACTTAATCATGCTTAGATTTGCAGTAATCTCTAGCCTTTTACCCTTGCCAACCAATAAGGGCAGTAGATATTTGTTTTTACTTGGATTTTTTTCACCACCACCATATTTCATTGCCAGAATGTTAATGATAATGTCATTTACAGGTTTCTTTTTAAAGTATAAAGAATTTGTTGCAGCAATTCTCACTGTGTATGTGCTTTTCAGGATCTTCGGGGACATCATTTACTCCCCACATAATAACTGTGAAGCCTAACGAGGTAATTGAAACCATCATGTGATGTGCCAAAGTTACATTCAAGGAATATTTCTGTATTCATGACTGAGTGAACTGCTGTTCATGACATGCTGTTTTTTGTTGAAATGTTCTTGCCTATCCCTTGGCTTGCAAATTCCAGCCACTCTCCAGGCTTTTATACTGAACTGACGAGCTTCCATAGAGTCACATTTATATCTAATAATGGAGCAACAAGAGAGAGCTATATGCCTGTTTTTTCCTTCTAGAATAAGCTCAAAACATTTCTTGCATGGTCTTTTCAGTATTTTTAGTGTTATCCTTTTATACCTTTTTCTCTTGCTGTCAACCCCAGTGAAGCTTCCCATGTTTTCAGTGCCATCAATGAATACTTAGCACACATTTGTTCAACATATTACAGAGTTCATTAGTATAGTGCGTATAACACATTGCTCAGGGGATATTTTTACAAATTTTGGAGAATGTTCTGTTGATTCTATCTTGGCTTGCTTTCTACTTGCATTAATAGTATATTTACCAGTTGGCAACAATTTTAGTGGCATTCATGGCTTGGTGTTTTTGAGCCTGCTGCTTTGTTGTACTGTACCATTGACAATCTAATCAGAGATCATGCACGAAATTATCTCTGTATTTTCAGGATGTTGCATCCAAAATAATGGCTTTTTCTCAACAAGGCCTGCGCACTACATGCATAATTTCGGCAAATGGCGCTCTGTGCACAGCAACACTGCGTCAACCAGCAACTTCTGGTGGGATAGTGACATATGAGGTATATTCAGGTTCATCTGTTCAGAGCACAGGCGATGCTTTTATTTTACTACTGGGTCTTTTTTTAAGCAATAACATATGTTTAAAATTGAAGCTGATTTATTCTCTTTTTTTTTACATGTTTGGCCAGACAAAACGACTATGGCTTTTCTGTTAGCATGTTTTTCCTGGGATGCTAATTAAGTAAGCATCTCTGTGCAATTGAGTAGGGTAGGAGCCAGGGCCTTTTTGTGCTGTCACTTGACAGCATTAGATTCTATGAATTCATGGCTATATTACTGTTGAGCTAAGAGAAAACAATGCAAATAATCATGTTTCTAACACTAGTGACATCAATAACTATCTATTTTGGATCCGCCCTGCAATTGACCATGGAGAGGCCTTGCAACTATCAGCAATCTCTTTTCAGTTGCATTGTGCTCTAGTAACATTTCTATGAAGTTAATTACCATATAGCATTGATCCACTTAACTTGCATATTTCCATTATTTTTCTCTTGGCTATTACATGTTTACATTTGTTTGCATTCTTGCTTTTTTATAAAGGTACACCCTGCTTTTTGGAAGCACATATAAGGTAGCTTGCCTGCTTTCTTTGTCAACTTGGTTTTAGACGATATATGGCTGTTTTTGTTTTCAGTTTTCATCTCATCTAGGCAGGATAAAAACAGGAAACATAGGAGCGCATATTCATTGGTGCCTCCGAGTGCAAACTGCAAGAGCAAGTCACGATATTTTCATCTTAATGTAGTAACAATCATATAGAACTCACCCACTGAATTTTACATATTTCTGTTACTTTTCTCTTTGGGTTCCGTTTGCCTTCAATCTTTGTCAACTTGACTTCTGATGAAAGGCAGAATGACTGCAATTTAGTTATATTATAAGCTTTCAATCTCAGCTAGGAAGGATAATACAGTAAAAAACTGAAATGACAGGTTTGAATAGCCTCTTACTCTGATTCACTGCAAATAACTAACTGCGATGCAGCAGTTCATTTGTGAATCGAGGACAGACTGCAAAACCCATCCGCAATATTCTAAACCCATCTGCAATATTCTAATTTTTATTTTCAAATGCTGTGATAAATTCACATTATGATATGAATGCCTTTGTGGTGACCTGTTGCAGGGCCACTTCGATATACTCTCTCTGTCGGGCTCATTCCTGCTTGCAGAGGATGGTGACACTCGAAGCAGAACAGGTGGTTTGAGTGTGGCACTGGCTGGAAGTGATGGACGCATAGTTGGAGGTTGTGTTGCTGGAATGCTGATGGCAGCGACACCTGTACAGGTTCTCTATTCCTATATGGTTGTTCACCCTTCATTTCCATTTAGCAAATGTTCCAGATAGGGACGCTAATGCCTTCTGTTACAACTATTTAAGCCTTCTGTTTTGCAGGTTGTAGTTGGCAGTTTCATTGCTGAAGGTAAAAAGCCAAAAGAAGAGCAACCGAAACGCGAGCCAACATCGGTGCCACCACACACAGCTGGCTTTGGGGCAGCCTCGACTGCCAGCCCCCCATCGGATGGTACATCAAGCGAGCACTCTGATGATCCAGGGAGCCCCATGGGACCAAACGGCAGCACATTCACCAACGCGGGGCTTCCCCTGCACTCCACATTTGCTCCAGCTGGTTGGTCACTATCAGGGAACCAAAGCCGCTATGATCCAGATCTAAAGATGATGACCGACTGATGGGTGCTGTTTCGCAGCTTCCTTGTTAGCAGTTGACCTAGTTGAGTAGGCTCCGGACTTCTGCGCCGGCTCTAGTGGCGCGGCATCTGACAATAATTGAGGAATCCTGAGAGTGATAAAGCCTTCAGGAATGAGTAGATCACGAGTAATAAGTTGCCTTGTTATGTTGTAGTTAGTAGATTGTATTTGTATGGTTTCTGTCAGGAGTCTATGCAGCATTCCTTCTGGTTTCCATCTGTATCAGCGTAGTGCAACGATTCTCTTATCCATGAATTGGTATTGCTCCCCACTTCACCGTATGCCATCTGTTCATCGTTGTATTGTGCAATTCTCCCCTGGGGTTGACAGCCAATTCGCCTTTGCATTAGATAGACTATTAGACTGGGGTGCACTTTTGTTCTTTGAATGAACTCATGCGGATTTTGTTCTTATTTAATTTGCAAGTGTGTCTTCTCTTTTTTCAGTTTTATTTGGAAACTTGTCTACAAAAGATTATGTTTTCCTGTGTTTCAAATAATACACCTGCTTTCAACTTCAAACAATATAGGGACAAAAACCAAATCCCCTCATATTTTGATAGTCATGTCACTGTTATTCAGGATAACTTGGTACAACAAGAGAGTTGGGGTATGAAAGAGAGCCAGCTATCTTCATTCTTCATTCATTCATGGTTTGGTATTTTTTTTTTCAGAATTGGTCTTTCTTGGTTGTTGGTTCGCTTCCTTTCATGAAGTCTCACGCATCTGCTTGCGGCGACGAAAAATGGCATGGTAATCGCGGAACAATATAACCCTAAAAACAAAAATGCTTATATCGTTACCTAGATTAGGGTTGGAATTTCTTACCTTATGCCTGACTAGAAAAGCGTACCTGCAGTGTAGCGGAAATTCAGATGCTTTGCTTTTCTCCCTCTCTTGTTTCAAGCGGCAGTGACCCGTGAACAGGTTTTTTTTTTTTTTTTTAAACTGAGTGTTTTGTGTTTTCATTACTCATCTGCTGGCAGATCAGCAACAACGATTGCATAGACGTTATTAGGGACGGTGCTTGTGATTAGCTCCTCCCCTTCAAGGCTTCAACGCACTCGTAGCCCAGCTCCTCCCCTTCTAATCAACTATTAAAAAGTTTCTTGTGTAGGTTAATTAGTCTCCTGCCATTTTCTATAGCGTTATTTTCAAACGGCCTTCTCATTTGAGTTTCTCCGATTTTTGCCCAAAAAAAAAGCTGTTTGCATCGACCATAGATGTTACGTACTCCGTATTAGATACAGACTCTAGTCTAGCTATAAATATATAATAACTTTATCTAATCGTCTCTTGCCCGTACCCTATATATATATCTACCTTGGAACAATACAATCAACGTCAAAACATTAGGGTTTCAAACAATTTCTCCCTGCAATGGGAGACCCTCAGAAATCTGAGGACCGCAGGGAAATCCCTACGGATTTCATACCAAACATCTTGCTGAGGCTGACTTTGTCCGGTCATCCTGCGTCTGCAAGCTGTGGCGCAGCATCGTCGCAGACCCCTCCTTCCGCAAGCTCCACGTGGCTCATCATGCCGCCGTAGAATCGTCGGAGCCGGAGGTCCTGCTCGTCACAGAAACCCGCAAGCCCGGAAGGAGCGACGAGGCCAGTTTCTTCAACCTTTCGTCCGCTACAGCCTTGTCGCAGGTTGCCATCCCCAGCGGATACCGCCTCGCCGGCGTCTGCAACGACTGGCTCTGCTTCGCGCTCGACCACGATCAAGCACCTGCGGTCGTGTGTGTTGGCCCACGGGATCACTGTTTGACGATAGTAAACTAGTCTCAGATCACTAGTTTCCAGACCACTAGTCTTTCAGATCACTATACCGGTTGTGTTTGTACCCACACACTACGGATCGAGCTAAAAGAAGGGAGAACAGAGTAAGCGCGCACAATATAAGACAACAACGTTGGCCGAGGCCCTGTCTGTGTAATGACAAATCTGAGCTCTGTTTACTGAGTTGCCTTGGTGCCCTATTTATACAACTCTATCTATCTAACTAAAGTACAGCGCACATGCTATAACAGTAACTAGATAAGCATACAGGGCTGACTCTGCTACCGCCCTTTGCATATATGCTATAGTGTTGCGCAGTGAACCGTCGGCGCGCTCGCACTGCAGCAGCAACTACAAGATATTACAGAGAGGCGGCAAAAGTCGACGCCGCCTTCCTCTGCTGTGTTTCACACAAGGTGGCAGTAGATTAGCTAACAATCTTCTCCTAATCCTACTGCTAACTCTTGCACCCCCTTCATGCCGATCATCTCCTTCAGCTCCGTGAGTCGAAGTCGTCCAAGCGGCTTGGTGAGGACGTCCACGAGTTGCCGACCAGTTTCGACAAACTTGATGACGATCTGTCCTCCATCAACACAGTTCCTGAGGAAGTGGAACTTCACGTCGATGTGTTTACTCCGGTCGTGCAGAACTGGATTCTTCGCGAGGGCGATGGCGAGCTGGTTGTCCACCATCAGTGCTGGTGGGTGAGCTTCTACGCCGGTTAGCTCGTCCAGCAGCCGGCGTAGCCACACAACTTGGCACGCCGCTATGGCTGCTGCTATGTACTCGGCCTCGCACGTAGATAGCGCCACCACCTTCTGTTTCAGCGACAGCCATGAAATTAGGGCCGACCCGAGGAAGACGAGTACGCCAGAGGTGCTCCATCGTCCGTCGATGTCCCCCGCCATGTCTGCATCGCTGAATACCGTGAGCTGCAGCCTACTTCCCCTTATCTTTGGGAAGATGATTCCATGATTCACCGTCCCCTTAACGTAGCGTAGTAGCTGCTTCACCGCAGCCTAGTCATCCTCTCTGGGATCCTCCATGAAGCGATTGACGTAGCCCACGACGAACGCAATGTCCGGCCTTGTGTGGACTATGTAGCACAGACCGCCCACGATGCTCCGGTAGAGTGTTGCATCTACTTTTGCCGCGGTGCTGTCCTTCGTCAGTTTCAGCCGCTCCTCCATCGGAGTCACGCATGGCTTACACTCCACCATATCGCTCCTCTCCAACAGCTTGGAGGCATACGCGCTTTGCCCGAGCATGAGTTCCTTCTTCCCCTATCTTACCTCGATGCCGAGATAGTAGGAGAGAGCGCCGAGATCGCTCATTCGGAAACGAGCTGTCATCTCTCGCTTGAAGCTGTTGATATCCTCCGTGCGTGCGCCGGTGACGATTAAGTCATCCACATACACGCCGACCATGAGTTCTTTCTTCCCCCGTCGTCGCGTGTAGAGCGCGTGCTCGGTTGCGCACCTCTAAAACCCAAGCTCGCCCAGCGTGGTGTCAAGCTTGGCGTTCCATGCTCGAGGGGCTTGCCGCAGCCCGTAGAGCGCTTTGCTGAAAGCTCTAGTTTGGTTTTGGTAAATTGATGAAATCCTAAGTGCTAACCTAGTTCATCAAGTGATCATGAGATAGGTAGCACACTTTAAGTAGAGAAGCAAATGAAGATCATAACATGACAATGGTGATAGCATAGAGATGATCAAGGACTTAAACTTGAAGAGAAGAAAGAGAAAAACAAAAAGCTCAAGGCAAAGGTATAACTTATAGGAGCTATTTTATTTTGGTGATCAAGACACTTAGAGAGTGTGATCACATTTAGGTTTGATAGCCGTACTATTAAGAGGGGTGAAACTCGTATCGGAATGCGGTTATCAAAGTGCCACTAGATGCTCTAACTCATTGCATATGCATTTAGGATCTAGCGGAGTGCTAACACCCTTGATAATATTTATGTAAATATGCTACCACATGTGCACAAGGTGTTTGTAGGGTTGAGATGGGTTTCGGCGCTTTCGGGAAAATGAAATGTCTATTTTCTATTGCGCCGGATGCAAAATTCTTGGTGGTTGGCACACTTAAGCAAGGGTGAAGAAGTAAGAGTTGAAATGGAGTTGATCGAAATGATGCTGGCGTCGGTCTACTGACCGGACGCTGGATCACTCAGCGACCGGACGCTGAAAGGCTGCGTCCGGTCGAGCTGTCAGACGGCACAGTGGTTAGGGTTGAGCACCGGACGCTGGCTGCGTCCGGTCAAGGTGGACCGGACGCGTCCGGTCGAAAAAACATGCCTCGGGGAGCTTACTGGAAACGACCGGACGCTGCGGCTTCAGCGTCCGGTCAGTTTTACCGGAGCGTCCGGTCAGCTTCGCAGCCGTTGAAATCTGACGAACAGCATTTGAAGCAGGGGACACGTGGCGTGAATCACGTGACCGGACGCTGAGGGCCAGCGTCCGGTCGATCGGACCGGAGCGTCCGATCACCCCGCGTTGTGCCCAGTGAAGGGGTACAACGGCTCTATTTCACTGGGGCTCTATTTATAGCCCCATGGCCGGCTCAAGCTCGTACTTTTTGCACATTTTCATTGACATAGCAACCTTGTGAGCCTAGCTAAAGGACTCCCACTCATCTATATTATTGATTCATCATCATAGTGAGATTGGGAGTGAATCCAAGTGCATTGCTTGAGTGATTGCATCTAGAGGCACTTGGTGATTGTGTTTCGCTGCGAATTTCGCTGGTTACTCTTGGTGGTTGCCGCCACCTAGACGGCTTGGAACAGCAAGGATCGTTGAGTGGAGGAGGTGATTATCTCCGACTCCGATCGTGGTGATTGTGAGGGGTTCTTGACCTTTCCCCGGCGGAGCGCCAAAAGGTACTCTAGTAAATTACTTGTGGCTTGTGTGATCTTCATCTTGTGTTGGTTGTGCGGCACCCTATTGAGGGTTTGGCGAGTGATGCCAATCAGCGCGTGAACCTCCAAGTGAGTGAATCGCCATAACGAGGACTAGCTTGCCGGCAAGCAAGTGAACCTCGGTAAAAATCATTGTGTTCATCATTTGATTCCGAGGTGATTGGTCTACATTGGTATTCATTATTGTGATTGATTGGTTCCTACCACTACACGGTGGTATAACTCTCTTGCTCACTCTTACATTACCGCAAACTAGTTATCAAGCTCTTTAGTGTAGCTAGTTGTGAGAGCTTGTTTGTTTGATTAGTGTTGCTCTTTAGTTAGTCTTTGAGAGCACACTAATTTAGCTAAGTGTCATAGCTATTGTGTGGACATACACTATTTGAAATAGAATTGTGGTAGGTGGCTTGCATTTTAGTAGGCTAGCGCAACACTCGCTTCGCCGCAAAATTGTCTAACACATTTTGTTAAGTGTTGTTGTAGAATTTTATTAGGCTATTCACCCCTCCTCTAGCCATTAGGACCTTTCATTTGCGCAGTCGGAGCACCCTGTGCTCCTCTCCCTTGACAGCAAACCCTAGAGGTTGCCTGACGAAGACCGTTTCCGCCAGCTCGCCGTTAAGGAAGATCGATTTAACATCCAAGTGATGGACGCACCAGTCCTTTGCTGCCGCCAAAGCAAGTAGCAAACGGACCGACTCCATGCGCGCTACTGGTGCAAAAACCTCCTCGAAGTCGATGCCCTCGCGTTAGACAAAGCCTCAGGCGACGAGGCGTGCCTTGTACTTGACAATGGCGCCGAGCTCGTCCCTTTTGACTTTGTACACCCACTTCAGACTGATCGGACGGCATCCTGGGGGTGGATCGACGAGCTGCCAAGTCTCGTTTTCCTCGATCGCCTTCATCTCCTTCAGCATTGCCCGTCGCCAGTTTCCATCGCGCTCGGCTAGCGCGAACATGGGTGGTTCCTCTGCACTGACGAGTAGCAACTCTGCGTCGTTGAGCAGCCTACCCACCAGACCTGAGGGGCCTGTGCCGCCGATGATGTCGTCCAGCCTGCGGAACCTCAACTTCTCACCTTCGTGGTAAGCGTCCACGAACTCAGTGATATCACTTGGAGGTGAGGCGAACTCGATCGGGGGTGATGAAGTTCCTTCTTTCGCTAGAGTGCCCTGCATAGCACCCGAAGTGCTCGACACTGCTTCTGGACTGCTCGTCATAACTCCTGCAGTGTTCGGCCACACTGTAGGAGTGCCCAGCCTCAGTCTTGGAGTGGTCAGAACCGGAGTGGTCGGAACCACAATAAAACGTCTTGGCTCCGCCACGGGAGTGCTTGGCACCCATCCTGAAGTGGTCGTCACCACTGCAGAACCTCCTGGCTCCACTCCTGGCATGCTCGGCATCCCTCCAGAAGTGCTCGACACTCCTCCCGGAGTGCTCGGCATCCCTTCTGAAGTGCTCGGCACTGCTCTAGAAGTGCTCGACTCTACCTCTGGAGTGCTCGGCGCTCCTCCCGGAGTGCGTGGCCCCTATTCCGCAGCGTCTCCACCGCCGTGGATGACCAAGTGCTCGACGACGAAGGTGCCAGTCCCAAGCTGCCTCCTCGTTGAACACAACGTCGCGCGAGACAGTCACCTTGTCTCCGCGTGGGTCATAGAGCCGGTACGCCTTGGTACCCTCCACGTAGCCCAGGAACACCATGGGTGTGCTCCTATCCTCCAGCTTGGTGAGGTTCGGCTTCGTCTTTCTGACGTGGCCGATGCAACCGAATATCCGGAGAAATGACACGTTCAGCTTGCTCCCGTACCAAGCTTCGAATGGCATCTTGTCCGTTAGGGCTTTGGTTGGAGCGCGGTTGAGGATGAACACCACCATGGTCACCGCCTCTCCCCAGAACTTTGCCGACATCCTTTTGGCCTTCATCATGGATCGGGCCATGCCGACCACTGTCTGGTTCCGTTGCTCCACCACGCCATTCTGTTGTGGTGAGTACGGCGCGGCGTGATGTTGCCCCACACCTTGATCTGCGCTGTACGTAGCAAACTCTACCGAAGTGAATTCGCCACCCCGATCAATCCTCAGTACACGGAGCTTCTTGCCGCTCTCGGCCTCCGCGCGCGTCTTGAACTTCTTGATCGCCACCGCCGCTTCGTCCTTGCTTGTCAGGAGTTGCAGCCACATGTAGCGACTACAATTGTCCACGAGTAGAAGGAAGTACCACCGACCACCGCATGTAGCAGGCGTGATCGGCCCACAGAGGTCACCGTGAACTAGCTCGAGAGCTTCACGCGATACTTGGCCGCCTTTGGGAAAGATAGCCTCCTCTGCTTCCCGGCCAGGCAGCTGTCACACAGCTCGCCTCCGTGTTTGATGTGGGGTAGCCCTCGGACCATCTTCTCCAGCCGACCAAGCGTGTCGAAGCTGAGATGTCCGAACCGGGCATGCCACATCCACGGTTCCTCAGAGTGCCTTGCCGCCAGGCAAATCGGCTGCTCTACCTTCAGGTCGAGCAGGTACAACCGGTTTAGAGACCTCTTCACCTTGGCGAGAAGTCACTGCTCCCGGTCTCTGATCCTCAGAATGTCGTCCTTGATCAGAACCTCGCTACCACGCTCATCCAGCTGACCAATGCTGATGATGCTGGAACGCAGCTGCGGGATGTAGTATATATCCGTTAGCGCGCGGTGCTCCCCGTTCTAGCATCTAAAGATTATGGTGCCGCGCCCTTGGATAGCCACCCTTGAGCCGTCACCAAACTTTACCGTACCGGTAACATCACCGTCGAGCTCAGAGAAGGAGTCCTTGGAGCCCGTCATGTGGTTACTGGCACCAGAGTCCAGATACCACCGCTGCTCCTGGTCGACGCCCATATGCCCAAGATGGACTTGGGCACATGGTTCGTCGAGGTTGACGGTCTTCAGGGCCTTGCTAGATCCTTCCACCGTCGTCGCCTCTTCCCTCTCCATGGCCTCGACGTCGTGCAGTGCACAGAACATCGCCATAAGGATAGTGGCCTCATCCTCATCATCGGCTTTCACTAGATGAGCCTGATCCTTCTTTTCCTTCTTGCGATTTGGGCACTCCCGTGCCCAATGGCCCATCTTCCCGCAATACCGACAGGCGTTGGAGTCGATTTGCTTCTTCTCCGAAGAAGCCCTGCCGTGATGTTTCCCGTTGCCACCGCGACTGGAGGAGGCTGCCTTCTCGGAGTTTCACCGAGCAGCCCACTCCTCTTTCGTCAGCAGGAGTTTCCCGTTGTCCTTCGTTGCTGTCGCCTGCTCCAGGCCCTCGTCCACCGCCCGTAGACGGCCTGCCACATCCTCGATGGTGAGGGTGGACAAGTCCAGCATCGTCTCTATGGAGAGAGCGATCTGGATGTACTTTGCCGGCATGGAGTGGAAGAATTTGGAGACCGCCTCCTCTTCGTCGATGGTGACGCCGTGACTCTTCAGCTTGCTGATGAGCGTCTGCAGGCGGAGGAAAAAGTCCTCCACTGTTTCATCATCCTTGAACTTGAGGTTTGCATACTCTCGCTTGAAGCCGGGCGTTGCCTTCTTTCTTTGCGGGTCGAAACCGACGCCAGCATCGCCGCAATGGCCTCCCACGCCTCCTTAGCTGAGCTCTTCGTCCCCAACGGTTCCCTATACTCTGCTTGCAGACAGCAATGCGAGGATAGCCTCCAACGCCGACATGTCGTCTTCTTCCACGTCGGTGCCCTTGTCAACAGCATTTCGAGCCGCTCGGCTCGAGCTTGACTTTCATGGTCACCGACCACTCTCCATAGTTAGTGCGAGTCAGCGTCGGCCAAGTGGTGCCGTTGACCTCCCGCACTGTGTGGACAACTACCTCCGGTAGTGGCTGGGCAGCTATGACAGTGCCACTGCCATCGCCCAACTCTAAACTGCCTGTCCTCACCATCGGTTAGAATGACGATGGCGCTTGTACGTCTCCGATACCACTTGTTGCCCCACGGGATCACCGTCTGACGATAGTGAACTAGTCTCTAGACCACTAGTCTCAGACCACTAGTCTCCCAGACCACTAGTCTTCCAGACCAGGCCACTAGTCTTCCAGACTACTATACCGGTTGTGTCCGTACCCACACACTATGGATCGAGCTAGAAGAAGAAGGGAGAACAGAGCAAGCACGCACAATACAAGACAACAACGTTGGCCGAGGCCCTGTCTGTGTGATGGCAAATCTGAGCTCTGTTTACTGAGTTGTCTTGGTGCCCTATTTATACAACTCTATCTATCTAACTAAAGTACAGATAAGCATACAGGGTTGACTCTGCGCCGGTCACTGCATGTGCCTACAGTGCTGCAGGTGAACCATGCGGCACCTGCACCTGCAGCGGCTACAGTATTACAACAGGGGGCAAAGTCAGCGCCGTCTTCATTTACTGTGTTTTACACAAGGTGGCAGTAGATTAGTTAATAGTGTACAACCCCGTCACCGGCGAGACGCTGCAGCTTCCAAAGGCACCTCCGCTCCCTGCAGGGGACCCCCAGCTGTCGCATCTCTTCGTGTTAGGGTTCAGCGCAACGACCAAGGAATACAAGATGTTCCGGGTTTCCTTCCCACGACGGCACGCATCCAGAGATGAGACTAACTACATAGCCGTGTACACCCTCGGTGGCGGCGGTGGCTGGCGCCAGTGCTCCTATCTGTCCCGGTGTCACCCGCTCCAATTGCCGGCGCCGGTACACATCGACGGGAATATATTCGTGCCGACCGCTGATTTGGCAGACAAACGAGCCCGCGCTGCGCGAATGTTGGTCGTCGATGTGGCCGCGGAGACGCCCCGCTCGTACCGTATCCCGTATAGCTTCGATGATTATCACGAGGCCTGGCACCACCTGCGGGGTGGCTTTTGTCTGTTGGCCGACGGCTTTGATCTGAACGGGCAGATGTGCCTCGTCGTGAACGTTGGCTTTTATCCTGTGTCTCGCAAGAAGACCCAGTTCTGGGTCATGAAGCCGCCATGTGAGCTTGAGGGCAAGGGGCAGGAGGACGACAAGCTGTATTGGGATCTACGCTATATCTTCTGCTTCGACGACCCCTTCACCCTCACCATGCCGAGGGGCGCCTGGATTGACCACGCCCAGACGTTATGCTACAGGTTTGGAAATTTTGTGTACAAGTATGACACGAGAGGATACTCATCGCCCTCCAACGTTGATTCTCTCTTGTTTGACGAGCGACTGGATCTCCCGGATGCTCCTCGGTATCCGTCATAGGTTGGAGTTTTGCCGGTGGCCGGAGCATCTGCGGAGGTTATATATTGCCCCAGCCTGCTCTCCCCTCTCATCTTTGCACTAGTCTTTCGGGCGCGCCCATGCGCGCGGTGCACTGGCCAAACGTTTTTTTTGGGAAAAAAAGATATAATCAAAGTTGGACTGTATGTTGATTTGAGAAAAATCCGATGAGGTTTTCGCAAAAAATGGTGAGAGGGTTTGTGGAGCACGGGTCGATTTTCAGAAAAGGTAAGGGTTTTTTTTGCAAAAAACCCGGAGGGCATCCGTTCTAGACTGCGGGTTGATTTCAGAAAAATCTGAGAAGTTTCTTGCAATGCGCGGTGCACTGGCCAAACGTTTTTTTTTTTGGGAAAAAAAGATATAATCAAAGTTGAACTGTATGTTGATTTGAGAAAAATCCGAGGAGGTTTTCGCAAAAAATGGTGAGAGGGTTTGTGGAGCACGGGTCGATTTTCGGAAAAGGTAAGGGTTTTTTTTGCAAAAAACCCGAAGGGCATCCGTTCTGGACTGCGGGTTGATTTCAGAGAAATCTGAGGAGTTTCTTGCAAAATATCCTGAGAGGGACTCTGGATCACGGGTTGATTTCCGAAAAGTAGAAGGGTTTTTTCGAAAAATGACCGCGGCTCGCCCGATCTGGGCCGTCCGCGCGGCCGATCGAACGGCCACGAAAAGCCGGCGACGTGGACGCGCTGGCTGCGCGAGCTGGCCACAACGAATCATATCTTTAGATTGCCACCATCCCAAGTCGAAAAGGGGAAGAAACGACCACACTTCGAACACGCCTTGCTACGTGCTTTGAAGGTGGAGCTTGATGAGCATATGGATGGTATATGAGAATAAAGCCTTTGTGCAACATGTAACATGGAGATTAAGAACGTGATTTTCCTTATACTTTTATAGCGTAATTATATTGAGTGCCACTTTACTTATATTGACCCGTGACACTCAACTAATATTTTTTTATACCGAACTTTACTAAACTTGCTCAAACTTAAGTTAGTTATAAAACTAGCAAACATATTTACAACGAAACATACATTCTTATTAACTTACTTACGGATCAGGTCTATCTATGACACTCGAGCTTATGAATTTGTGTTTTGCTCCAGTGGTCATGTTTAAAAACTCTGTATAGATCTTAAAGCAACTTGGTCATAAACTATAATTACTAATTTCATCTTGGACTTGGATTGAGGCCGGTCCTAGAATTGTGTTAAGTCAGGTTTTGAATAAATCATTTCTTAGAATTGTCTTAAGTTAGGTTTTTCTATGTTTGACTAAATTTATAGAAAAACGTAGAAATGTTTATGGCACCAAATTAAACATATTACAAAAATATATTTTAAGGTGTATCTAATCTTATCATTGCTAATTGGAGGCCCCAACAGAGACGGCACGTTAATTCTTACCAGACACACTAGGAAAAGAAAAGAAAATTCTCGAAATTCTCACAATAATCAAAAGCATTTGACCTTTAATATAATAGACTCTAATCATCATTGCTATTATAATTTTTTTTTAAAAATTACCCCCCTCTGCCATTATGAAAAATGCATAGAGTAACCTCCTAATTTTGCATATAAATTATTCACCTCTGCTATTAGGACAATAATTTAAAATAACCCTACATTGTATGTAAATTACCCACATATGTCATTATGAAACATAATTCAAATAACCCTCTAAATTTGTATCTAAATTACCCACCTTTGTCATTATAAAATATAATTCAAAATAACCCCTAACATATTGTAGCTAAATTACCTAGACTTTTCGTTATCAAAGATAATTTCAAAATAACCCTCTAACTTTGTATCCAAATTACGCACCTCTACCATTATGAAAGATAATTTAAAATGCCCCTAATGATTTTATAAATTACCCACACGTACCATATGTCAATTTAATATTAGTAATTTAATTTTGAGCACTCTATCATGCATAAAACAATACTACACAAATAATCTTGTAATATAACAAATTGGCCCCCTAACAAATTCATCATGTTTAGTGTTGTGGCGTGTAAGCCGAGATTCAACTAAACATATGTAAAACAATAGTACTAGAACCCTGACTTTTTTTAATAAAAAACAAATTTTGAATAAAAGATAAAGAACACTAAAGTTTCTATTTAACATGTGAAAATTTTCAACGGCTTGATTAAAGTTAAAAGTTAAATTATAGATTTATGAAGTCATAGAAAGGAATGTAACAAGAGTTTATATATCCTAAGTACAAAAAATATAAATTCTAGAAATTCTAACTAGAGGTCCTCATCAAAGCCTGCATGTTAATCCTCACAAGAAACAACAAAAGATAGATCCTAAAAATTCTCACAAAAATCAAAAACATTTTACTATCAATTAATTAGGTATAGCATAATCACCAATGACATTAATAGCTATACGATCTATTCTGTTTTCTAAAAAAATTATCCACCTCTGCTGTTGTGTAGAACAATATAAAGTAATTCATGACTTATATTTACATGACCCACATACACCATTAAGAAACATGATCTAAATTAGACCTAAATTTGCATCTAATTACCCACATCCTCCTATCATGATCGATGATTTGCATAGTTCAGAAGAGAGAAGATATAGTGCATAGACCTTGGATCCCTACTGAAGATTAAAAGATGCCTTGGCTGCAAAAGAGAACCATAGATTTAGAAGAATAACTAATGGATCTTAGTGATTTTACCACAGTAGTTTTTTAAAATATCAATTCCGATTTTTTTTGTAGTTTCACTTGGGTTTAGAATTTGTTTATCTATATAAATCAGATGTTCGCCCCAATTTTGCCAGATGTGTCTGTACTGGTGCTTGTTTTTGGTTGACCAATGTGAACATTTAATTTTCCTCCCAAGAGAAATGTTCTGCAATATATTAAATCCACTAATGATAGGGTCATATTCTGGATAACAATAGATACAGAGCATTTTTTAAATGAATAGAAATCTGTAGCTAGGTTGCAACACTGTTTACTCGCATGGAGCTAAAATAAATCATAGTCTTTTCTTGGTTCAATGCCAATGACATGTATAGGAGCTACGGTTTCTTTGGTTGTGCTTCTTCTCAAAAAACGGTGAAGCCAAAATAACGTCAAACTGTGAAGGGAGGCAAAAAAAAAAAGGTACATATATAGAAGGCAGCGCCCTATGAACGAACAACGATGATTACACTGGAATCAAACAACTAACCAAGGTTCAACCTGACAACAGCTAAAGCATTTTTATTCCAGCACGACTTGCGTGCACGTGCACACACTGCATACCCGCTACTACCAGTCGCTACCGATACAGCCAGCTGATCGATCGATCTCTCGGTCGCTACACAAAAACGCAAGTGCGACCACGATCCCGGCCCTGATCTGACGCAGTCACCTAGATGTACTTGCCCGACGCCGGGTACGTGCTGCCGGCGGACGGGTACGCGGGGTCGACGGCCGCGCCGGGGCCGTGGCGCCGTGTGGTGCTCGACCTTCTCCTGGTGCTTCTCGGCGCTGGCCTGGTCCTTCTTGGCGCGGGCCGCCTCCTTGGCCATCTCCTTCTCGCCTTGCGTGGCCTCCGTCGCCTCGTCTGTCATGCCCTGCATCTTTGCCGACGCCTCTGTAACATCTCGGTGTTAAGCATGGTATTTGGCACTTGCATTTTATGAGCACAAGCATCATCCAAGCATTCATGAACATGAGCATATGAAATTTCATCTCATTCTTATATATTATCGCATAAAATGTTGATTATATATATATGCTTATGTTTGTAATCATGTATGACCAATGTATGAAATGATTGTAAGGTCACAACAATACCTTAGATACATCTAGGATGGTAAATGGAATAACTTTTGTATTCATGACATGAACCAATTTTGCTTCTAAGTGTTGGGTTACCTTGGAATGTTATTTTCATGATGCTAGTTTAACCAAAGTTGCACAGTAGCATAGAGTATTTACATGGCAGTGTACCCTTAATAAAAGTTGTATTTCTTGACATGGGTAACAAACTTTATTTAAGAGTCATAAGCTAATTCGGTGCCTAACATAGTCCAAAATAGCTCCAAAGTAGCAAAGAAATATTGTTTTTGGACTTGGAGAATTTGTTGAGTCCTAAAGTCATTCACAGTTTCAATGTGCCTCACTTGGAAGCATTTTCACTGGCTTACCATTGAGAATTCGATGATGGTTCCTAAAGAAAAGTTGGAGATCTCACATAACTCTACAACTTTCACTAATACAATTCTTGCTAATTCCGCACAGTTTAGGAGTTCTGGAGACATAAAGTTGGCTCATCACATGGCCTGAATTGGCCCTTCACCGCGCCATCGTGGCCGACCGCTAACAGGCCATGCGCGCCGAGTGGCGGCCGCTCGCCGGCGTCGGCCCGGCCGGTCTGGCCAGTAGAGGGAGTAAAGGGAGGCGCAGCTGCTGCTCTCTCCCATTCTCTCGCCCTCGCTCTCGCTCTCTCGCAGCTGAGCCGACCAGACGTCGCCATCGCCGTCGTGCCTTCGCCGAACTCGCACGCCACCACCGCCACATCTCCATCCAATCCATCACGTGCATAGCTTCGACGTCAGCCGCTCTACCTCCCCGACCCGCCATTGCCTTAGCTCAAACCAAGGTAAAGGCCTACGGGCCATCGCCATCGCCGCCATAGCCGCTGTGCGCCGCCGAGCTCCAAGCTCGCCCGTGGCCAGCCCTATCCACCGCAGCTCCTACCTTCTCCGTTGGTCCGTCATCGCCTTAGGTCGTAGGTGCTCGTGCCCTAGTCTAGTTCACCATTACCACCGCCGTCTCACAGGGACGTGCGACTGCACCGCGCGCACCCGCCATGGCTGCGAGCTCCAGCTCGCCACGGCCGGCCTTAGCTAGACCCCGTCGTTCCCCTCTAGCACGTGTTTCCGCACCTCCACTAACCCTAGCACCATCACCGAAGATGGAGACTCGTCACCCATCACCGGCTCGTCGGAACGGTGACA